GAAGTACACCTTACTTGTTTTTACTAACTTCTGCTTAATGAATTATTCTTAGGAACGAACCTTAAAAACTCGTGAAACGTTTCATACTAGAAAACAAGATATTAGAAACATTTGAACTCATTCAATAAAAGAAAAAATTATTCAAAACGTAGCTCCATAATTATGCATTTTTTCTACTTGATCACCAACACACGAGGCTTAAGAGAAATATCTCCTACAAGTTATGTGGCCACTATTTCTGTGTATGAAATTCGTATAGGGAAAACAATGCATTTCGAGGGGAAGAAAATGTTCTTCATTTGATAGTTCTTCTAAATAATAAACTTTTAAATGTTATGTGTTTCTTTTCCTTAATTTAGGCCAGTGATTCTCAAACCTTTTTTGTCAAGGCACACTTTTAACGATTTCAAAATTTATCGGCGTACAAAGAAAAAGATTAGTTGTTTACTTACCTATAATACACTGTGTAAAACAGTTTATAATACTAATTTTGAATGTAAAATAAAATAATACGTATTACCAAAAACAGCAGTACATTTATTAAGGGATTACAAGTTATGAGTTAATTACAAGTTAACTGGTGAAACATTTCATGTGAATACTTTTAATGTGAAATTTGAGCTTGATGTTTTTGATAATTTCACTTATATTTGTTCGTGATGCTACTTTTATATCGTTTTCTACATATAACAGTCTTGATGTTTTTTCGTTTTTATGTTGGTTCATACTGAAAATCCAAATTCACACAAATAAGATGTAGAAAATTGTAATAATATTTTTAAAGTTTTTTTTTTTTGGCTTCCATGGGATAATCGCATTTAATGTTAATCCAAAATGAATTAATTGATTCTTCCAAATATTTTAAAATTAAATCTCGATTATTAGAAAGAGAAATTAGTTCCTCCTCTACATTCAAAGTTAATTCAAATACAGAAGGTATTCGGCACCAAAATCGGTTTGGATACCACAATTGGCGAGCTTATTAATGTCTTAAAAACTGACTTTCGCCAATTCCCATGTGTACCGTAGACTAGGATTAAACCCATTATAATTTTCACTACTTGTATATACATTTCTAAAACTTGGTGGCACACTTTAAGAATTTGGAGGTACACAAAAGTGCCACGGCACAGTGGTTGAGAATCACTGATCTAGGCAAAATAATATTTTAACAATTAATAACAGCTTAAAACCTACAAAAGAAGTGTTCCAGTGAAATTCAGTTCCAGAACTCCAGTGAAATTCTGTTTCTAAATGCTTTTTTAATTTATTTCACTGAAATTTTTTGTATATAAGTAATTACGCTAAATTAAAATGAACTGTTTTTTTAAGCGTTTAATCGAGTAACATAATATTTTTTATTGAAATAAAATTTATTTTTAATGTGCAAGATTACTTTTCTTACAACGCTGGGCTCATGGTTCTTAAATCCTCTTGTTTTTGAGTTCAGAAAACTTCATTATTAATATTATTCGAATAGTTCAATGCGTTTTCAACCATACAAAAGTTAAAATGAAAACTATTACTTTTACGTAAATTTAATACATGTAATAATGTAAATTTTTTAGAAATTGTTCAGTAGTTTTACTTTTAAACAATGGCTTTGCTTTGATATAACAGACATGTTTAATTAGTTCAGCAAAAAGTTGTTAGAGACACTATCAAATCAGAAACTAGCATATTTTTGCACTCTGCAGTTTTATTGCAAAAACAGGAAATTATCCCTTTAAAATGGTTAAGAAATACTTAATTCCTTTTGTTTTGCAGTTATTGAAATTTTTTAAATAATTGAAATTCTAACTAAATCCTTAGATAAAAGTTATTCAAGAACTAGACTAAAGAAAATGAAAAAAAAAAAAAAAAAAAAAGGATTATCTTCACTTACAAGTGGAATTTCAGATATTGTTATTTTCTAGTAACTAACAAAAAATATCTAAAATCCTCTTTAATTTATTTCTCACTAACCTCTAATTGCCCTCCTGCCAGCCCCTCTCTTCTTAGCATGGACCATGCTTCTGAGGCCATTCTTTGGCATTCCAGGTTTGATAGGGGATAAAGCAATTCAGCAAGACTCTCCTCTCTTTAACCGCTTTTTCACTCAGCTGGGGCCAAAAGAAAAGGAACACAATGGTTTCCCGTCTGAATAGACAGTGTCCAGTTAGAAAACAGCATGACAAAAGCCCACAAGAAGGATGCCCACTTAAAAACAGCACACATTTTTTAGCAAATCCAAAATAAGCTATTGACTGCTTAGAAAATTTCACGAACAATAATTATTATGATTAAAAATGAAATTTCAAGTGGGAATGAAATTAATTTATGTAAAATCCAAGTTGTCAAAATTTAACTAGATTATTTGAAACCGTGCTTTTAATTCACTATGAAAATAGTATTTGTGATAGCGCACACAAATGTTTTCTTATTCATAATAGAATATGGTACTTTTATCTTTCTCACTGAAATAAAAGTTCGGCTTTAATTCTCCATATTAAATTCATTATATGCAAAATTTTCTGTAGTGTTAAATTAGTCATAAATTATTCTCTGTACATGATGAAAATTTACATACATTTTATACTCCTTATAATTTTGTAGAATTAAAAGAAGCAGTGTGGCCAGTATTCCGTTTCACCTCCCTTTGTCGGACTTATACGAGAGCACTTCCATTTGTTGCGTAAATATAATAAAGTTACACATACATGTATATGTTTATAATTACATTATTTTGATTGACTCTCTTAATTCAGCCGGAGCCCAAAATGAAATGTATTCCTCTACTTAAATTTATTGTTAATTATTTGTTATTAATTAAATTTTTTATTTTATCTTTATTCATGATTCAACTTTGTGCAGCTGAAGAAAAAAGGGAAAAAATATTCATTTTAACCTAGCATATATATCGGTGTGGGCTTTTATCAACGTGGGCCTATACCTATGCGGGCTTTTATCTGTGTGGGCTTTTATCAATGTGCGCTTTCATTGGTGTGGGTATTAGTCGCATGGGCAATTATCTCAGTAGGGTATTTTTGTGGGCTTTTGTCACGTGCGCTTTTGTCTGGTCACCAAACTTTGGACATTGGTAGATAGGTCATGGTGGCCCAGTTCATTGGCCTGCCAGATCACCGGACCTATCATGCATGGAATTCTTCTTCCGAGAATACATGAAGAGTTTGGTGTATGAGACACCAGTTCCTTCAGTTGAAGACCTCGTCGCTCGAATATCTGTAGCTGTCAGGAGGATAAGTGACATGCCAGGAATCTTCCAGACCATAATGAATTCCATGCAGCGCCGATGTCAAGCCTGCCAGACGACTTCTGGTCATAATTTCGAACACCTGTTGTAGTACAGGCTTTCAATAAAATGTTTTTTCTGTCCCATTAATGTGTTGGCATTTCTATTCTTTTTCTCTGCTTCTTTGCACCATAGCTTGCAACAACGGCATTTGCGACCCTGCATTCCTATGTGTTTCCAAGTTGTCTCTGTACTTCCTACACACCCTGCAAGTTTGTCGGTCTGGTAGCAAATCATACAGTTATTTTTCTGCCTCTATTTGTATTTTCTGTTTGTAGTTTGTGTGTCTATTTTCATTTCTGCTATGACTTAAATCTCATATTCTAATCCATTAGGACTCTAGTTTGGTCTCTCAAACCCAGGAGGAAATGTTCTGCCCTCTTCCACACTTTTGTTTAATTTTTCTCTTCTGGGAACTTCACTTGATGTATTTATACGTGAAGTGCCTTTAATACAACATTTTTACAGAGCCGGACACATTGCAAAATTTGTAATATCACGGCATAACATTACCAATACGAAGCTGTCAGTTGTTGTTGTTAGCTCAATGTGAGTTCTGAGTGCTATCTCCACTTTAGCTTCACTCTTTAGCTGCGGTTTACACTGCATTGTGTTTAACATTCTCAGCAGTTTGAAGTATCACTACTAATTGAACTCACTAGTAATTGTACTCTGTCATACTAAGAAGATTTATAGGAGTATTTTTGTGGAAGCTTCCAGAATTCTGAAACGTTTCTTTGGATAAAATAAATTTTATCAATCTGTCATTGGACCTGTGTATATTTAATCTATTATGAACCTGTACAGACAAAACAATATTTAACAAAAGTATATAAAACACCTGCAGTTGAAGATTTTACTATGTTTGATCATCGTTTAAAAATCTTGAAACTTAAAGCAGTTTAAAATGCGAAATGCAGTAGAAATGAAAAAGAAATACTCAAAGTTCAGTATTTGTACTTTAATAATATACATAAAAATAAAAAGATATTATTGCGAATTTTATACATAGTGCAATTATAAGTGAAATTGTTGTATTTTCCTGTGTAATTTAACATGAAAATTTGGAGACACAAACTCTGCCAGAAAAATAAGAATACAGGAGCAAGTATTGAGTAACTGGGTATCTTGGTAATTTATCTAGATATCCTCAAGCAGGCAAAGGTTTTAGCGACCATTTGGCAATATTTTGTTCTGCCTCCCTGTGTCACCATAATAGATATTGTAATTGAAGGAATGGAATTGATCATTGTATTAGCTGTAACCATTATTCAGCATGTAGCTATTTTCCAGTAATTTCTAGAAACAGAAAGTACTAGAAACATCTCATCGGCATAAGGCCGTAGACAGCTTCTACTGTTCTTCGGTAGTACAGCAGTAGTAGTTGTTGTTACTACTGCTGTACTACAGTAGTACTGTTGTTAGTAGTAGCTCTTAACTCAGCATGAGTTCCGATAAGGCGACCAGATTTCGAAATTTGGAACACTATATATAATATATATATAATTTTTTACAGAACTTTTTTTCAGAAATAAATTATTTTATTATTAACGTTATTACTGTGGAGGTGGTATTTAGGTCTATAAAATAATTTAATAAATTGTTTTAAATAAATAATTGATAAATAAGTAATTTAAATAAATGTTTTAATTTTATTTTTAGTAGTGATATATAATATTCTTTTTAATAAATAAAGAATAAATCAAAATGAAGTACCGTAATTTCCGGAAGAAAGGCCGCATCAGCGTAAACGCCGCACTCGAGAAAAATGGCGGGAAAAAAATTACTCAACCTAAGTCCTGATATATGACATACCAGTTAAGAAAAATGCATGAAATGAAACCATAACTCAAAAATAAATTAAAGGTAAGAAATGTTTAGCTTCTGTGTTTCTGTGTCGTTTAGAGACATTTTCAAAAATTTTCCACTCCCTTCTTATTTAAAAACTATCCAACAAGTACTTGTACCCAAACTGATGGGATCTGTATTTGGCAGAATGCCAAGAAAAATCCATTCATGCTGAAGGGGAAATACGTCAAAGTTCGTTATTGCGAGGCAGGTGGAGTCGTGTCCGCCTTTGATAAAAATTGCAGAAAAGGCAGGGGTGGGGAGAGGATGGGTCCTGGAAGATTCATCGAATGGCAGAGGAGAGAGACTATTCAAACTGATGAGAATGTTGATTTGAAAGGGGGAAGAATGTTTATTGTTCTGAGATCTCGTTTAGGGTGAATAAGGCATGTAGGTCCGTTCAAGGGAAAGAATGTAAACAAAATAACGTTCGCAAAAAGCAACTGAGTGGTCTTTTGTGTGGGAACAGCACCAGTCTATGCACAATGACAAGGCCATCCAAACTATGTACAATGACCATCATAGGAAATATTTTATTTTTAGTGCACCTAAACGCCGCATGGGTAGAAACGCCGCACCCGCGGAAAATTTAAGTTTTAAACACGTAAACGCCGCGGCGTTTCTTCCGGAAATTACGGTACTCATTTTTAAACCAAATAATAAACTTGTAACACTTCTAAATTATTTTTACGGAGTAGTTTTATATTTCGCGGAAGCATGAACATTTTTTAGAACATCTTTTTCTTTTTTGATCTTATTATAAAAGTCCAATGCAAGTTTCAGTAAAATTTATTTTGATGAAAATTATATCAAAATTCATTTTGCTGATTAACATACCCTGCAAAGTGCCTACTTTAAGCTGTATCTTATTATTACTTCAAAAACTTTTCACAATGCTAAATACTTGCTCAGTTGCAGGATTAGTGCCAGGAATATATATATATATATAAAAAAAAAAAAAAAAAAAAAAAAAAAAAAAAAAAAAAAAAAAACTTTAGCAATTTTGTTAAACATAGATATAGAATCTGGTTCTTGTTTGATAAAATAAAACATTAGCTTCTCAAAATTCAATAACTTTGTATTGTGACACGTCTCCATTACCTTTAAGTTCTTCTAGAGTTTTTTTAACATTTATTGGAATAAAGTTATCATTTATCTTGATCAATATTGAAGCTTTCAGTGCATCCATTAAAGCAATTAAATCAGACACAGATGAAGTTTGATATTCAATTGATGTAATAATATGTATTATAAAAGTAAGTATACAATGTGCATGTCCCTAAAATCAGAAATGAGTCATGGTATGATGAAGGGAGTTATATGGTGTGGTAGCCTTCCATGCCACATCCATGAAGAAGGTTCCTGTTTTCACCTGAAGGGTGTGCTTTTGAAAATACAAGGGCTGGAAGTTTTGCCCTGTAGAAATTTCTAGAACAGTCCAGAACATTCTGGAACATTCCAGATCATTGTGGAACACTCCAGAAAACTCTCGAATGCTATATAATGTTCTGGAACATTGTGGATCATTCAAAGCCTTTTTTGTATTTGTGAAACTACTATTGGTAGGGGTATATAAAGCAAGATCCATTGTGGGTTCGAATGTCATTTTCAGTGAATAAAAATAAACAGTGAAATATGACTAATCTAAGTAACACAGTGACTGAATATAAATTGAAAATAAAGTGTGAAAAGTGTGTAGAGTGTACTTAGTGTTTCTTACCAAAAAACTGTTTTGATTTATATTTTATAGAATGCCCAAATGTAAAAGAGGAGAAGATCTTGTCAATTCTGAAGCAAAACGGCAAAAACAAAAAGAACAGCGAAAAAACAAAACAGTCGAAGATTGTGAAGCACACTTATGTTCCCAACAAAGGAGAATGAGAACCATGAGAAGCACAGAAACCGAAGAACAACAAAATGAATGAATTGAAGAATCAAGAATTGCAACACAATCTTGTAATA